GATCATTGTGCTGGTCCCCGACATAGGACGCTTTAAATAGAATGCATGGCCTACTAAATATAGCTTAGATAAATAAAATAAATAAGGCTAGGGCTAGGGCTAGGGCTAGGGCTAGGGCTAGGGCTAGGGCTAGGGCTAGGGCTAGGGCTAGGGCTAGGGCTAGGGCTAGGGCTAGGGCTAGGGCTAGGGCTAGGGCTAGGGCTAGGGCTAGGGCTAGGGCTAGGGCTAGGGCTAGGGCTAGGGCTAGGGCTAGGGCTAGGGCTAGGGCTAGGGCTAGGGCTAGGGCTAGGGCTAGGGCTAGGGCTAGGGCTAGGGCTAGGGCTAGGGCTAGGGCTAGGGCTAGGGATAGGGATAGGGATAGGGATAGGGATAGGGATAGGGATAGGGATAGGGATAGGGATAGGGATAGGGATAGGGATAGGGATAGGGATAGGGATAGGGATAGGGATAGGGTTGATTTTGATTTTGTGTTACGTTTTAGGCCTATGCGGATGCTTTGGTTTGGTCTTTTTCTTAATGTTTAGGATTAAGATAGTTTAATTAATTCGTTCTGCCACACTTGCGGTCGAGTGGAACATATTTTGGAAATTACACTTATGTGAATATTGTTCATTCTCAGAAGAGGATGTGTCCTAAAACCCATGGCGATAAATTTCCTCGAAACGGTCAAGTCCTGCGACAGCATCCGCAATGTTAAGTAATTGAGGTCACATCCTCTACACTCAGACTATTTAAACGGCACTGACTGCTTCATCTTTGCTCGTGTAATAAATTGCAGCAAGCATTGCAGAATACTCTATTTTATTTAACTAGAAGTTATTTTTTTTTAAAAAAAGGTCAAAATGATCTTTCTTCTGAGTTTGATGATCCTTGCAAAATTAACTTGGATCAATGGTAAAGTAGTAAATATGTTTTTCTTAGCTATCGCACAATACTTAATGTATATAATGTTCTGTTATTCTTTAATAGTTTGTAACATCTAAAATTGCCATTGACTTGCACCTTAATGTAATATAATATAACATACAAACATCTATTCAGGGCTTGACCTGTCATTAGAGAGAGAACACTACACAGTGGGAAAATATTTATTTTGTGTCAAGTTACATTTTGTGGAGAATACAAGAGAAGATAATAGAATATCAGCTCTTGTTAACATGTCAGTCGATAATTTCAGTAAATTAGAGGGGAAGATTATGTTGCACTTTTATAATTGATATATGTTAAATGTGTGCACGTTTTTCCTCCCTAATAAATTGAATTGAAAGGCTTATATAAATTAATGTTGCCTTTTCAAACCTGACGTTTCATATGACAAGTTAAGAAGAATTCGTCTATTTCTGTAATTTCGGCATAGGAAGGAATAGTTTGGTCTACACTACGCCGAGCCGTCTAGTGCGCTAGTGTTTTTAAATGCTAAACTATAAATGTAACTATAACACAGTTCATTCCTAAATGGTGTGCCCCCCCCCCCCCCCCCGCATTGTGTCTAGCGGCACTGAAAAGTGGGAGGTAGGTGGTTGTTGGATGAATTGTGTGCGTACTTTTTTCTATGGAGTATCGACCTCTTTAGGGCTTTGCAACAGAATTAGTAGCCTTTTCCTCTACATTTCCTTAATGTTGGTTCATCTTCTATATATTCTTCTCTAAATTCTGTCTCCAATTAAATCTATGCGGATTTTTTTCCACAATGGTTACTTCTAGGTCCTGATAGTTGATGCCAAATATTTGTTTAAAAAGTAATCACTCCTTTGAAATATTAATAAATAATTTACACCTCCTTTTGAATCAGTTTCTGTATTGTGTAACTCTAGTGTTCTTCTTTGATGATGGTTTTAATCAAGTTTCTTTTAAAACTGTTCTTCAGGCGAGTATACATCAAATATTTTGTTCATGTATGCATTGTATTTTTATATTAGTTCTCCAAGTTATTGCTCTATGCAAACGTTTAGGCTTGATCATTTTAGTTTTAACTTGACAATCAGTTTTCTCTAACTCAAGACGTTTTCATATGTCTAAAAGCTTCTCTTGCCTTTCCAATTCTGGCTTTTTGGTCTGCACCTCTCCGAGCTATATTTTTATTGTTTATCCTGCCTTGGTCGTGGCAAATTTTATGTTTTAGATAAATTTATCTTTCAGTTATATAGAAGAGATATTTGTTTTTCCTTTTTTCTATACGATTCTGTTTTTCTCCCTATAAACTTGCCTTTAGAGTTGTAGATAGTTTGGTTGCTTTTTTTCCTATTGTACTTATTATTGCCTGGGTGAGATAAGACGAGATATTCTACAAAGTCTTTGTCATCAAATTGTTATCAGTGTGTCCGTGGTATATACTTTCTTTTTTACTCTGTTGCAATTCTCATGATCCAATCTATGGCAAGATGGAACAGCGCTAGAGACAATAGTCGACCAGTCTCATTCTTATCTTTATCTTTTTCTAATGCGAAACTCTACACTTTAATTACTTGTAAGACTATGCATTTCTTTGACACGGTGCTAAATTATTTCTGAGTATCATAACAGCGAATGTGCCTTTCAACAAAGAATGTTGTTTATTTACTCGTGAGAGCTCTACTCCGTTGAGCGGTTTTTATCAACATACCATATTTTATCAACATACCAAATTTTATCAACATACCATATTTTATCAACATACCATATTTTATCAACATACCATATTTTATCAACATACTATATTTTATCAACATACTATATTTTATCAACATACCATATTTTTATCAACATTCCATATTTTATCAACATACCACATTTAATCAACATACCATATTTTATCAACATACCATATTTTATCAACATACCATATTTTATCAACATACCATATTTTATCAACATACCATATTTTATCAGCATACCATATTTTATCAACATACCATATTTTATCAACATACTATATTTTATCAACATACCATATTTTATCAACATACCATATTTTATCAACATACCATGTTTTATCAACATACTATATTTTATCAACATACCATATTTTATCAACATACCATATTTTATCAACATACCATACGTTATCAACATACCATATTTTATCAACATACCATGTTTTATCAACATACCATATTTTATCAACATACCATATTTCATCAACATACCATATTTTATCAACATACCATATTTTATCAGCATACCATATTTTATCAACATACTATATTTTATCAACATACTATATTTTATCAACATACCATACTTTATCAACATACCATATTTTATCAACATACCATGTTTTATCAACATACTATATTTTATCAACATACCATATTTTATCAACATACCATATTTTATCAACATACCATGTTTTATCAACATACCATATTTTATCAACTTACCATATTTTATCAATATACCATATTTTATCAATATACCATATTTTATCAACATACCATATTTTATCAACATACCATATTTTATCAACATACCATATTTTATCAACATACCATATTTTATCAACATACTATATTTTATCAACATACCATATTTTATCAACATACCATATTTTATCAACATACCATGTTTTATCAACATACTATATTTTATCAACATACCATATTTTATCAACATACCATATTTTATCAACATACCATACGTTATCAACATACCATATTTTATCAACATACCATGTTTTATCAACATACCATATTTTATCAACATACCATATTTCATCAACATACCATATTTTATCAACATACCATATTTTATCAGCATACCATATTTTATCAACATACTATATTTTATCAACATACTATATTTTATCAACATACCATACTTTATCAACATACCATATTTTATCAACATACCATGTTTTATCAACATACTATATTTTATCAACATACCATATTTTATCAACATACCATATTTTATCAACATACCATGTTTTATCAACATACCATATTTTATCAACTTACCATATTTTATCAATATACCATATTTTATCAATATACCATATTTTATCAACATACCATATTTTATCAACATACCATATTTTATCAACATACCATATTTTATCAACATACCATATTTTATCAACATACCATATGTTATCAACATACCATATTTTATCAACATACAATATTGCAGATGACCAGCCTCACAATATTATAAGACTATCTAAGATGTAATTAAATGCAGCGTTTAAACTTTATTTTGGAAGTTTACACGCGGTTTACTTACATTCATAAAGCGAGGAAGAGAATATTTGCTGAAAACGCTCTCACTTCATAGACTGAGGTTAATGAAATAGGTGAACTCTACTGCACCATTGACCGTCAGGATCGCAAAACGCTTGTACAGTAAAGGATCTAGATATAAAGTGACAATTTTTGACAACAACAACGAAAAAAAAAGAATTCCCTTAAAATTACTTCATCGAAGTGCTATAAGTACACGACTGATCAAATATATTATATAATTAATGGACATTGTACAATTGATCAGCATATTATAATACCCGCAACGTATTAACATAAACTGCATTTGGTAACGGAACATCCTTAATATATTATTAACATGTCAGTATTATGTAGTATTACACTTATAATGTGTGTATATATTGAAATTGTAATAATTTATAAGATGAACCAGAGATGTAAAGATGAAGTACGTGATGTGACCGTTTAAACGTTACAATATAGGCAGACTAGTCTTATGTTGCCAGAGGAATTTTTTGTCTCAAGCTGACAGAAATGTAAAACTGTCTTACAGTGATGAGAAGCAGTGTAGAACATCTGTGTGTGATCGATCTTTTATCTATTGGAATTAAAACAACATAAATGCTTTAACGAGGGATACATGTTTATTTAAAACGTATACTTATATAAAAAATAACTTACGGTGAAAAAAAACACTTTTCAAACAAACACGTAAACATGATTATAATGGGATGGAATTTACTGCTTATCGTTTCTCAATTTAAAGCAAACTTAGCCATATTTTATGCTTACAAGTTTTTATAAAATCTTATATATTTTCAGGACTTGACATTTCATTGGAAAGAGAATACTATATAGAGGGTAGAGATTTATTCTGTGCCAAGTTACATTGTGTGGAGAACACAAGAGAAGATAATGAAATCTCAGCTCTTGTCAACATGTCAGTCTATAGGATCAGTGAATTAGAGGGGAAGATTGTGTTGGCGTCTGTATCAGAATCAGATTCAAGAGTTCGAGATTATAAAGCAACTGGATCAAAAAACGATGGAAAGTTTTCAAGGGTGTTTGGAGAGTTGACAGTGTCATTTACAAAACCTTCTGATTGTTTTAGTACAGTGTTTGTATGTGATGTGTATTACACAAATAGAAGGGGTCTCATTGAGAAGAAAGAGAACAAAACCAAACCTGTTGACCAAGACAATCGTAAGCCGCTGATGTTGATGACCTTAGAGGCTAAAACTCCAGAGTTTGATGAAACAATTGATAAAATGTCAGAGTTTCTAAAAACATTTAAATATTCTGATAAGTTAAACAGTGCTGACTTGAAGATGAATTTACAGTTTTTAACAGATGACAGACGTTCTAACCAAACTGTAGATCTAATACATCATGGGAGAGAGTTATCTTTAGATCAGAGAGTTGACACTTTAGTTAACCTAACCAATGTACTGGAAAGTAGACTTAACAGCCTATTAGTTGATGATTTGTCTAAAATTCAGAAACTTGAAAACAAAATTATCAACATAACGAATGCGTACAATGAAGTTGTTAACAGAGTGGATAAAACTAATCAAGACCTGACACACTTTAAATACAACGTAACTGAAAATTTTCTCAAAACAACTCAACAGATAGAAGCAAACAATAACACACTTGAAAAACAAAGTAGGTCGGTACACAATGTATCAAGTCTATACAATTTTTTACACAAACAACTGGAGAAACTGAACTACAGTGTTGCTAATGTATCATTCGCTATTCAGAATTTGTCTCAAAAGTCAAATCACAGTGAAGTTCTAGCTAAAACAATGCATGATTTCAAGTTAGATTTATTAAATGTGACTAAGGAAATGATAAAAAATAGCACAGCGAGAGCCGAACATGGTCAAAACCTACGCATTCAGCAACTGGAGGAAAACAATAAAATGTATTCAGAAGCACAGGCAAGGAAACTTAATGATTTAATGACAACTGTATCTCAATTAAACAATACAGACATTCATTTTAACGCCAGTATGGAGAAGATTGAAAGCGTAATGCAAAATCTGATGAATGAATCAGATCAATATAATGTCCTCATTAGTGGACTACGTGAACAGGTACGCTCTTTTTTTTTACTGCAATATATATATATATATATATATATATATATATATATATATATATATATATATATATATATATATATATATATATATATATATATATATATATATATATATATATATATATATATATATTTAGAACAAATGTTGAACACATTTTTTTTACTCCAGTTTAAATGTGCCAACATGAACAATAGTGTTTTAGCGGACATGACAGAGGCTGGAGTAGATGTCAGCAGAACATTGTGTGATACCAAGACTGACGGTGGTGGATGGATTATTATACAGGTTGTTTTGTCATTTAAGTTATTCTTAGACTTTAAACTAATTAGTTTTTTTCCTATATTTTATTCTAACAATTACGATTTATTTATTCAATTGAAAACACACGTATTATACACAACATTGACATTTGGATGCGACCTAAAGAAAAACAAATTCTAATAGTGGAACGACATACGCAGTATTTGTCTGTTTGAAATTACGATGACTCTAATTAGTTATATGGACGTCCAAAGACACCAGCTCTAGTTTTGTTATAGTTCTGGCAGACCGTTGGCCAGTAGTCTAATTGGGTGACGTAAAGTCAGGGGCCAGTTTACAGCAGTGTTTAAACATAACTCGAGTGTGATTACTTTTGGTCTGAGAGGTTATTAGTAGCCTAGTTTATTTTGTTGTTATTGATAAAAGTTCGGATTTTTAAATAAAATAGAGACATGCATAGTTTGTTATAGAGAATTATAATGTTATGTGCACATTAATATTATTTTGAGTATTGTGATTGTTTTGTGGATTTATTTGGTTTCGAGTTTGAACTGAGGCAAAGGTTAAAGCAAGTTTATTTATCACGTGATAGTTGTAGCTGTATAATACAAACAGTGTTGGACATATTTAGAGAGTTAATGTGAAGAATATTAGGTGTTATGAAATAGCGACTGCTTTGATTTTATGTAAATTGTTTGTATGTATGATATAACTAAATACTCAATACATTTTAAAGATAACTAAGCCTTAAAGTAAAAAAACATGTTTTACCACTGGCTTTATTTTATTCAGAATCGTTTAGATTTCTTAAAGATTTTGATTTATATTAGCGTAAATTAAACCGTAATTAATTTTTGGAATCAATCAAATGAGCTTAAACTTTATTTTAGCATTGTCGTTATTTCTTACAGAGACGTATTAAAGGTGATGTGAACTTTACAAGAACTTGGAACGATTATAAAAAAGGATTTGGTTCAACTTCTGGAGACTTCTTGATAGGAAATGACGTCATTTATAAGTTGACAAATTTAGTAAGAACATCAGAAATCTAGAACCTCTTTTAATTGTCGTCATAACAAAATTTACGGAAAATATATTTTAGTGCACGCCTAAGGTTATCACGTTTTGACCATAAATGTCTAAAACAAAAGTTGACATAGACTTTCCACGCCCACGAGTTTGTATTTTCCCAAACGGTTAAGTCAGGTAGATTTCTTAGAATCCCAAAGACAGAATTATAGCATTGTCTTCGTAATAAACCAAAAAGTGATTTTATAATTCATCCTGAAACTCAAATGCATAGTATACAAAAAGTAAAAGAGAATTTTACGCATACCAGCTAAGTGCAATGTTAGTGCTTACAGGATTGTTTGTAAAACTGACATTCTGAGGTGTAGGAAAGGGTGGAAGTCGAGGGGTTCATCTGTCCCCGGGCGCCGTCCCGAGTGGCGCCAAAATGGGTTGGAAAAACATTAGAAGCTCATTTTAGCTGCAGTTTTGAATTATAAACAAAGTCAAGAAAATTAAGGGCTACGAGCCTTTACATACTGTTTTCTTCCTTGACCTTGTAACTGCAAAAGAAATACATTTAAGGAACAGTGACCGGCAAAAGTTGCAGACGTGTAGCTACGATATTTTACGTCAGGAACTATTTAATTGTCGCCCCAACCCACACCCTGTTTATTCACATTTTTCCATTACATTAAATAAGGAAAACAATTTAAATTTTAATAAAACACTGTATTTAAAGAAGCATTGATTTACTTTCAATGCTAAGAAGAGCAAGATCACTGAGACGATATTGATCCATTCACACACGTAAATGCGAAAACAATAAATTCAGTAGCGTAGCGAGGGGGGGGGGGGGGGGGCGGGGGGGGGGGGACATATGTCCCCGGGCGCCGACCTTAGGGGGGGCGCCAAATTGAAAGTTCGAGGGGGGGTGCAAATGAAAAGTTCGAGGGGGGGGGGGGTGCAAATCGAAAGTTTGAGAGGGGGGGGGGGTGCAAATGAAAAGTTCGAGGGGGGGGGGTGCAAATCGAAAATTTGCTCTCGAGGGGGCGCCAAATTGGAAGGATGTCCCTGGGCGCCGGGAAGGGTCGCTACGCCTCTGAATAAATTTCAACTTGCTGAACGACCGCTCGCATCTTGCCATTGGAATTGTTATCTGACGACATACCTCTAGCCATCCGTCGGGCACAATGATATGACAATGGATACAAAAGGCTTAGGATAGGTAAAGCTTAGGGTTATAAATAGGAGATGGATAGGTATGGTAATATTTTATAATTTATAAGATGGGACAGTAATTACAGAACGTGTGCAATATATTTAGGTAAGGGGGTATTATTGACTAGGTTTGAATAACTGATTAAGTACAATAGGCAAAGTAAAACATTTGTTTAAACTATATACTTCTCGTAAAAAGAATTGTTGTTTGCTTCGTACATTTTAAATTGTTCATTTTCTGAGTAGTTTAAAGTATATCATTGCGATGTATAAACCATCCTGAGACAACAAACCAGACAAAATTATGTATAAACTCATTTCGGGCCTCAAGTAAGCGTGTTATAATTGCTTAAAATGGAATTTGTTAATTTATGTTTATGTCCTAAGACATGTAATCTTTATTGGCGAGCCTCGACTTTGCCTCAGAAGCATCCGATGTTATATTTCGTTTATTTATAATCCGACATATGAGGACTTGTGTAGGTTTACAGTTGTTAGCTATCCTAAAATCTTTCGTACAAAATATACATAAAAATACATCGTGTTATGGATTTTGGGGAGTTTTTAATTACGTTCACTGGAGGAACTTGTTTTTCCTGGAAGAAAAAGAAAACATAGCGAAATGGGTTTTTATGGCATAGTGTGTGGCGGTAAGGAGGAGGGAATACACAGAAAGGCTTTGCGTGTAAACTGTTGGTCTAATTCATGTAGAGTTTGGGATTTTTTCTGAAATAGAGCATGCATTTCAGAAGGACAGGACAATAATTATAATGTGCAGTTTTATTTTGTTGAAATAGAAGAAGTATCATGCGCCCAGTTTATTTACAACTACCACCTACAACAGTCTTTTTTATATTTAAAAAATCAACATAAACACTTCAAGTTAGGCATCGCAGAAAACATTGAGAAACATCGGGAATTTAATAAATGGTACGAACCGACCCTCGGTGTCATAATACGCCGCTATTTAGTTGTTGTTTTTTTCTACTTTTCAGTAATTCATAATTTGTGAATTCGACAGTACCATGCTGCCACTGAAAAATATTTGCTTTAAAACGCTAAACCCCACCCACACACCCCCCAACCCACCCCATCCCCGTGAAAGCAGCCTCCTCTTAGTTACATAATCTAGGTTTAAAATATTTTCAAACTAAATTATCTGCCCCTAATAGCCGTCACCAAAACCTGCTACGATTGTAAACATTTAGTGTGAACCACAGCTCACCAGACCATGTGGGTGTGGGGGTGGTTGAGATATGCCTAGAGAGGAAAAGAGGGGGCTGCAAGGCGCGCCTTGCAGCTTGTTTTCTAACGTCTCCCAGAAGAGAATTATATATACGAGCCGACCCGCGGCATATCATACGCCGCTATTTAGTTGTTTTTTTTTTCTACTTTTCATTAATTCATAATTTGTGAATTCGACAGTACCAACGCTGCCACTGAAAATATTTCTTTAAAACACTATAAGTAGCTCGTTAAGGACGATAACCCCCCCCCCCCCTCCCCCACCCTTCGTTAAAGTAAACTCCACTTAGTTACCCCCCCACGTTTAAAATAGTTTCAAACTAAATTCTCTGCCCCTAATAGTCGTCACTAAACCCGGCTCTGCTTGTAAACATTTAGCGTGAACCACAGCTCACCAGAACAGGTGGGGGTGGGCGTGGTAGGGAGCGCGCTTACAGTTTGTTTCTAGGCGTCTCCCAGAAGAGAATATACATACGAGCCGACCCGCGGCGTAAAATACGCCGCTATTTAATTGTTTTATTTTCTACTTTTCAGTAATTTTATAATTTGTGAATTCGACTGTACCTATGCTTGCCACTGAAAATATTTGCTTTAAAATACTATCAGTTGGTCGTTAAGGACGATAACCCCCCCCCCCCCCCCACCCTCATTTCCCCCAACCCCTACCCTTACCCCTCCTGCCCCCCCCCCCCCCCCCCCCGTGAAAGCAGCCTCCTCTTAATTACCTCCCCTAACTGTAAAATAGCTTCAAACTAAATTATCTGCCCCTAATAGGAGTCACTAACCCGGCTCTATGATTGTAAACATTTAGCTCAGCAGACCATGTGGGGGTGGGGGAGGTTGATTTATGCCTAGTGAAGAAGAGAGGGGACTGCAAGGCGCGCTTACAGCTTGTTTTCTAGCGTCTCACAGAAGAGAATTATATATACGTGCCGACCCGCTGCGTATCATACGCCGCTATTTAGTTGTTTTTTTTTCTACTTTCCAGTAATTTATAATTTGTGAATT